GCATGTGTAAATGCAGCTCCGTCCCTATGTAGATCCCTATTAGACTTTTGTTTCTCCAGTGTCAACTCAGTATCAGAAAAATCAGTTATTTATTGCTCTTTTAGCAATGAAAACATATTTGCCACTACGAATTACTTCAAGGACATGATCCGGAAATGCGATCCTCATCTTCTCGATTTTCCCGACAATCTGCGCAAGAGGTTCGCCAACGTGCAACATTTTCAATACATTCATTGCCAGTGATTCTTCATTCTCCAGCTCGCCATCTGACTGCAATTCTGTACTAATTCAAGAGAGCTTTCCGAGTATCTTTTGTAACATAACATGTACCGCTCGCCGGTTGATGGATTGCTACGAACCAAGGATTTTATTCTGACTCTGGGGTTCTTACTGCCATCAGCCTGCGCCTAAACTGAATGTTGCGAAAAAATAAATGGTCCTAAAGGTAACACTTAAAAGGTGGTACCGTCGATAACCCCAACAATGGGTGCTGGCCGTTGGCGTATTTGCGCTATTTTTAAATGCCTCAACCCCTCCCTCTTGTAGAGTAAAATGCAGAGAATTCTGGCTCTAGCAAAAGTGCATTGGTGTTATCTTGTAGGCAACAACATCTATCTTTTCTCAGCAAGCTGCTACGTATTTCATCTCATAAATTTTTTAAAGCGAAAAGAACTCAGGAATCTCAGTCGTTTGCGCTTTTCATTGAAAATGTTTAAAAAAAACTGATCTTTCAGCTTTTACAAATTTTGCAAGATTCGATAACATCAGCAAAATACGACTCATGCTTCCCCGTCCCCTTCCTCCCTATCATCATCCTAGTAAAAAAACAGCTGCACATTAACGATATCGAGAATGATAATCTAGGAATTTTGGCTGATATTCGCAAAAACATTACAAGCAAACTTTTCAAAATGTCTAAGCATTTGTAAAACGCAGGATTTTTCATGCAAAAAATGCAAAATGTATGCCCCTACAATGCGGCACAAGAAACGCCAAGAGAAGCAAAGGAAGGATGGGTCCCAATACCCTAAAACGGCCTTTCGTAATCTCGTCCTGCATATAGGATATTTCAGCAGCATCACTATCACGGAATCTCAGAGGCGCCGGAGTAAGCAAAACATGCCGGATTTTATTGATAAAAATGTATGACTGTTGCTCGATAAAAGTACCTTAATTACAGAACCATCAGAGATAACAATGGAGCCTTTCAGGCCTGAAATTTGACTTAAGAACGAGAAATTCCCATCCATCTTTTATTGCCACAGAAGCCAGCACTGCTCGCTGTCATACGTGCAAGAAGAAGCTGTCTGAAATGAATTTAAATTCTTTCCATCACCAGCACTTTCCCCTCCAAATCCCCAGTTGCGCGCCGAACTTGCTTCTTGCAGCTGCTCTAAATCAGTTTCTGTGCGCACAGTGCATGCCACGTTTGTACGATGAGCGCTAGGAGTTGGCACTTTTTTTTTTTTTTTCCTAGAACTAACTGCTACAGCATTTTCTGCAACTCTCCCTGGCCCTGATGCAAAATAAATAGCAACGCGCACCAGACTAGCTGGTGCGATCATGCGTTTTGTGCAATTCAGCCCATCGAACGATTGCTAACGCGCACCAGACTAGCCGGTGTGATCATGCGTTTTGTGCAATTCAGCCCATCGAACGATTGCCTATTAATGATTTTCACTGCTTTGTATACTTTAGTTTATGAAAAAATAGTTCAAAAATTGGAAAATAGTCAAAAATTTCACGCACCAGCACATGAAAGCTGAATTCGAAACCTTGAAGGGTGAATATCTTCCCGTGATTTCCTAGTTAATAGTTAAGGCGACAAAATTCTCACGAGGCCGTAGGTGATACTCAACAGCGACAGAAAGCTGAATTTGAATAGGCAAGGTTGGATGTGGGCAGCGGGTCATTACCCTAAAATTTCAGCCTCCTAGACCCCGTGGTTCCTGAGATATTGATTTACCTGTAGAAAACTTTCACGGGGCAGTACGAGTTACCCGCGGGTACGGGAAGGCTGAAATTTGCCGCATCACCCGTTGGCGGGAAACACCATGCCAAAATCTCAGCCGCCTAGCTTTTGTGGTCCCCAAGTTGAAAGTGCGGCACAAAATGTGGGACAAACACACAAAAACACACACACACACAAACACACACAGACAACCTCGTGACAATATGCGTTTTGTAAGGCTGTTACACAGCACAAAACGCACAATATGTCTGCCCCGGTATTCTGAATGAATGAATATCGACGAAGAAAGATAAATTCCTCGAAATGTGCAAATAAAAATGCCAAAAACTTCAGACTATTCGCTTCTGGAATAATACCAAGCTGGTCATACTTCTAGAAACTGCTTTCAGAAATTCTCACATACATAGCACAGTGGAGATCATCTACAAATTTCGAGTTTACAGCTTATATTTCTAAAATCGAATAATGACCAAGTGGAAGTTGCAAATGAATTCGCGGCCGAAACTTTTTGCACAGAGACGTTGTGGTTATTAATCCAACCTGTCAGTAATACTACTACAAACTCAAACACTTTTTTTTCAAAATAACGATAACTAAAAAATGTAGCAAATTATGGTTCAAAAACAGCGAATAACAAATGAAGAGGTGATATGGAGATAAATTTTACAAAAAAAAAAAAATAATCTAAACATGAGTTTTTTGAAAGGGAACTACATGAATGCAACCTCATAATAATATCACAAAAAAACATCTACTGCCAGGAATGACATACATTGATTTGCAAGTCTTAACACACAGAATGGTCCCCGTCCAGCACAACATCTCGTCCAGCTCAACACAGACACTCCTATTTGGAATGATTACTTCTTGGTTGGCCAAATCTACCCTTTCTATTTGATCAACTCGCATTCCCCTCGAAGAGGATGCTTAGGACTATGGCAGGCAGGATCATCAGATCAAATGATGTACGTAGCTCTGGTCGCAGCAGCCAAAAAAGGATTGTCCGGACTATCAGCGGTGGAAAGACGAAACGACGAATAATACAAAAAATCAAAATATATGCAGAGAATAGCGATATACAGATAAATTTGATAATATTTGTATCATCTACTTCAACTTCTACAAAATTAACTTTCTTCGAAACTACGAAAGCTAGCAGTGAAAGATCGGCATGCGTTTTCCAGTGGTTCCACTAACTATTCTGACTATTCACAGGATAAGCTTGTGCAGAACAATTAGCTCCTAAAAAGAAAACATTCTTGACCCTCTTTTTTCCTCGTTCTTCCACCTCTTCTACCCCTCAAAACATTTCACAGCTCTTTTTTTTTTAAATAACAGAAACATACAAGACGTGGGACAGTGGGAAGCACACCCACAAAGTGGACACAGGATGAGCAAAAGTCGTAATTTCACGCATTTTTCTCCGAAATCACGCAAAATTTTCGTTTACAAGGTATATTTGCTGAAGTCTTCGTGCGCCGCACCTCAAAATATTTGTGCCTACCAAAATTTTTCATCAAAAAAAGCCTGTTGATAAAGTAACTCTAAAAAGTAATACAAAAGTATGCATCACTCAAAAACACAGAAAAAAAACGGGATACTTTTTTTGATGAGAATTATTCATCTAAGTTATCATTCTCTCTGTAATATTACAAAGTATGAAACTATTTGGGCCCCTTGTCAGGGACTACGTGGTTCTAACTTCGATCTTTTACATCCATCATTTGGCAAAATATCCAAGCAAGTAGAAAAACCATAAAGTCGTAGTTTTTCCTGTCTGCTACTTTCTACTTTGAAACAATAACACTTTGAACTCTCAAAACGAATAACTTACGATAACTATGCTTGGAGCTTGAATACGGTTCATAACACTGTTTGTCCAAGCGATCTTATAATCTTGGCAAGCTATTCCATTTCACTACTTAATGACCATCATACTGACGTGGTCCTGTCGCAGTGTTGAGTTAAGACGTATATGACTTAATAGGCCGAAATGTCTTATCCCATTTCTGCCTCCTTTCCTCATTCTTTCCTGCCTTGTATCCAATACGCCTTCGGCACTTTGACACCCAAGGTCAGCCTGGATGCCACAAATGGCTTAATGAAAATTCTAGAAAAATAACCTTTCGATAAATCAAGGAATTCGATGATTGGGCAAAATTGGACGAGATTCACCAACATTACAGAAGATACATGGCGCATGGGAATAAGTTATGAATGAATACACTGTACAAATCATAGCCACTTCATCATATAGTGAGCATATTGAATTTGTCCTGCCGTTCGATGAGACTTCGAATTGCTTCGTCAAACCTTTGGCACCTTATTGGCATATCGATGGAATAAAAGGGATTTTTCAGCGCAAAATCAGCGTACAGTTCATAAATTCG